AAAAAAGTAATATATTTCACAATATTAAATTTTTTATTAATTAAAGTTTTAATCTAATAACTAACTTCAAATTTAAGTGTCGCATTTGAAGGAATTTTAGGTGGACTGCCATTTTTCCCATATGCATATTCAGGAGCACAGGTCAATAGCGCAACTTCGCCCTTTTTCATAGTAGCTACCCCTATATCCCATGCTTTAATTACACTTCCTTTCTTAAGTTCAAATTGAAATGGTTCATTACGATCCTTGCTTGAATCAAACTTTGTTCCATCCATTAAGGTACCAGTATAATGTACTATTACGTTGCTTCCAGGTGATGGAGTTTCATCTCCTATACCTTCCTTAATTATTTCTTTCTGTACACCTCCATCCTTGTTCGGAGATATGTCTATAGCCATTCTAAATTTAAAGAAAGCATAATAAATACCATGTTTCTTATTTAATGTTTTATTTCTATTTATTATTTTATACAAACAATGAGTAAGCATAATATAAAACAAAATCTTTTTAAAATTTAATATAAGAGAAAAGTGATACTAATAAGTTGAAAATTAATATTGCTATAGTTCTTAGTAAAAATGACAAATTTAATGCAATTAACTATTATAGGAATAGAAGAAAATGTACACAAATATACGTATTTATTCCAGAGTATAAACGAAAGTACGTACATATGTACATAAAATGTACAAGAATACTTACTTGTATATCTTTAAATAATATCTTTGTAATAAAATAGTCCTTTACGCAATACTAAAAACACGCTAAAATAAGGCAGACGATTCTAGAAACTAGAAACTGACTGGTCTGGTCTCGCAGTTCGTTTAAAGTAATCAATTCCATAGAACCTACCAGAAATTCTAAAGCTTCGTTTCTGTATCGATTACCGACTTTTAGTTGCGATATCTCGCTTGTAATATCGATATATTTTATACGAATAAATACAAGTAACTGCGAGTAATACATTTCCTGTGAATTTATGTCTTTATTTATAATAATTAGATTATAAAAATCGTATAAACAAAATATATTTTGTTTATATATTTAATTTATTTTATGAATAAATTATTTGTGTTTTTACCTAATAGAATAACTAGTCTTACGTATTTCATATTACTTTTATTACTACAAATTACATGAAATATAAAATAAAATATTATGTAATAAAAGTAATATATTATGTTTTATTTACATTATTTATTTTCTTATATAATTTACATATTTTTTATTAAACGAATACAGAATCTTTATGTAAATTATGTATATTCATAAAAATAAAATATTGAAAAATATAAGTCACTTATGACAAAGTGTGTATGTATATGTACAATTTATAATCATTTTATATTAAATTAAGAAAAGAAATGATAGATCGCTTCTTTTAGTTGCACATAATAATGTAATGAATAAATATAACAAATCGTAAATTAAATCGAGTAGTAAGAAGAAGATTATTTGAAACGAATGGAATTTTTAGTAATTATTTTTTCATTCGTTTGATATTTTTTATCGTGCTTTTCTGAAGATTTTGAACTGATTAAAATTATGCAATTTTACTGCAATTAAATTCTATGCTAACTAAATAACACGTATTTTTTAATCACTGTACAAGAGTAATATTAACACAAAACAAAGATAAAAACACGCAATTACTGTAGAAGATTACAGGAAATATAATCATACAAATATACTTCTCTGATGGTAGATAAATACTTTAATTGTATTGTACGAGTATAAATACGTAAACATCCAGGTTACAAGAGTTTTTTTCCAATTTAAATCTCAGGATGAAGTTGTTCAAAATGCACTTGTTTCTTTGTATATTACTTTTCATTGCGGTAAGACTTTTATAATATTTCCATACTGTATTGCCATTCAATATCATAAATGACTATAGTACTGAGAGAAGAATTGAAATACTCTTAGATAACTAGAACAATTTATATAAGAGCAAAAGAAACTTATTTTTATTGCATCGTGTATGCATATAAATTTATAAAATTAAAAACTAAAATTGGCGCTGCAATTTATATGAGTATGCTGTTGTAGTTTTGATAATTATTATATTAATTCCCGAGAAATTACAAATATGATAATAATATATCGAAATGTAGTTGTTTAAGTATTTTATTCTACTGTTGTTTACGTCCCTTTTATGTATCATCACTCTATCAAAAATTTCACCGGAACGATTTCTATTATTACATAGTGTTTTATACTATACAGTGGATATTATTTTGTATTATTTTTGCATAAAATCATGTTCTTTGATGAACTGAAATTTGCATTACTATTGTTTTTTATTGCAAAATATACTGTGGTTAGTTTTTAGATTCCTCTATGAAGGTAATTAAGGTAATAAATTTATATCGTTTTACGGTTTTGCTTCGTTCCTGAAACAGCTTATCTGTAATCTTGAGGGCGTTTCATTATCATTGGTGTAATATTTTACTGATACATTCATCAAATGATAACCAAGTATATTAACCAATAACTTTATAATACTTCATAATAAAAATCTAAATTTTATAATTTCTATTGCAAATAACCCTCTTGTTATTCATTCCGTTAATAATTTTGTATACCTTAAAATCATGTGATTATGTAATATAAATAGATATTAACGTTTTTTTAAATAAGATTATATGCGTATATTTTAATACATTAATCGATGCAACCCATAATATTTTCTAAGCAAATATTGTATTATTTATGTCAAAAATTGTAATTGTAATTGTGTATTGTAATTTTAGTAGTGCGTTGTGTAGCATAAACCTTTTTTATTGATAGGAACCCGGAATTTTTATGAATGTTCGATCTCACTTTGCTTCCCATCATGATGGTAAAGTTGGTTGTCGACGGTTAAATTTTGGAAATGGTGGTAAGTTATATTTGTATAGTAGCAAATATTATCTTTAAATTAATAACTTTCAAAATTCAATATTCACAAATTGCTAAGTGTTATTTTTAACAGTAGGTTGATTTGAATATAAAATCATTAAATACAAACAGCTATATCAATAAACATTTTAAATCTAAATACTCCTCTTTGAAAATGTCAAGTAATTTATGGTAAAAGTTTTCCATTACATAATAATTAATTTATTGTGCTTATTTACAGGTAGACAAAGCACCACCACCAGTACCACTCAACAACCTTAATGCAGAAAAACTGAGATAGATGGAATAGAAGAAATAAATAACAAGATTAAATCAATAAAATATTGTAAAAGAATCATATTTTTTTGTTGAAAGTAATATATATGTATATAATTATATATATATTGTTGTTTTTAACACGTAATGAAACAAAAATAAAAAGAAATAGAACATTTTCTTGTAGATAAATTGAACTTACGATAAATGTTATGGTTTTATTATTTGTATACCTCAATGACAGTTTTTTAATTATATTTTTCTTATATTATTAACATGATTATTTATTAATATATCAAATATTCTATATGTATAAAACATTACTTATTTTTTTATCTTATATATTAAAAATGTATAAAGGTACTATATATAAGTAGAGAAGAAATTTCCTCTTTAATACAAGTATATCAAATTATACATGTATAGTTATATGTGTAGAAAATGTATTAAGAAAATCAATGTTTTATCTTCAAAAGAGAAAAAGAATGATTATGGATAAGTACATGCAAATATAATACATTTATGTAGCTACAATACGTGTGTAATAATACAACATTATTAATATTATATCAAACATACATATACACATACAAAGATGACGATATAATTTAAATGAGGTCAAACAACTATAACACATTTCCTTTTTAATTTGATTTAATATCATTGGCAGTGAGATTGAAGTTGTACTTATAAACTATGAATATTTTCCTTGTTCAACTGACATACCATGTAATTAAGATATTTTTCCAGTACTAGCATACATGTTCATTTATGCTTTAAAATCTATAAATGTATTTAATCATTTTATGATTATATGGGCATTACCAAATATTTAATATATATGTATAATATATATATATATATATATATATATATATATATAACATAATAAAAACGAATAATTGTAGGTTTGTGTAAATAGCAATTGTAATTTATATAAATATTTGTACATTTTCCATTATTATTAATTTTAAAGGGAAGTTCCTCTTCTTTAGATAATTTGGTTTATAATGTATTCCTATACTTATTTTTACAAAATATCTATATGCAAATTTATCCAAAGAAAATTATTCTATTACAGGCAACATAAACTGTTACATCTAAAGCAGTTTGTAGTATACAGAACATTGCTTTTAGAATTATATCTTTAAATCAATTTTCTTCAATCTATAGTAACATTTATTAATATTATATGTAATTTATTTACATTTTTTGATATGGTTTATGCACAATTATTATTGAACATTAGATTGCATCAAACTTATCTAGTTTAAACAAAAATTATTGTTTATCTAATGTTCCTAACAACAATGTTCATTGCCACAAATTTTAATGAAATGTAATATTTGAATTGTCAAAAGATACCAATTATCACTTATCCATTACAGCTGATTCTTTTCTATCACAGTATTTTGTATAATTTTTAGTTCATTGATTGATGTATAAGGTTAAAACAATATAAAAATGATTTAAATCTTAATATAATATTTAAAAAAATTTAAGTCTAATAAGTTTAGCAGAAAAATTAAAGATAATTTGACTTGCTGAGAACAGCAAGAAAGAAATATAATGTATATTTAATTCTAAATTGAAATTTCTTATAATATACAAAGTGAATAAAAATAAAACTAATAGTTGAAATAATAATTATAAGTATAGAAGTGCATTTTTTTATACTTTTCTTCATAAGGTTTTACATTACTCTAACATGTATTTTACAAAATATCATAAAGTAATCTTACAAAATAAATAACATATATGAAAATTTTTCAGACTAAAGAAGGCAATATTTATTATACATTCATTTAAAATATAAATGAATTTAATATACTAAGCACTTTTTAAAAATCTTATCTATTGCACATATATGACTTATTTTTTTAATAAATGAGTTAGGTCTTTATTTTGTTTTTGAAGCATAATATCTGTCTTTTCTGCTTTATCTGTTATGTTGTCGATCAAGTCATTTTGTAGATCTATTTCTTCCGACAGTCCTATTGCTAAACCTTTCAATCTAGCTAATGAACCACTCATCTCATCTAAATTTTGTTCTAATACTTTGCTCACATTATTGCTTAAAGAATTTGTTTCTATATCATTATCTAAGCCATGTAATTTTAATGCTGGACTTGTATTAGCTATATTAGTCTGTACTTGTTCTAATGAATTAGATAGAGCAGGAGATGTCATAGATTCAGAGCTAGAAGATTCTGATAATATAGTTGACGGTATTGGTGCATCCATTGATTTACCACTGAGGTAATTTTTAAGGCTTCCAAATACACTTTTTATTCCTTGGATATGTTTTTGACTAAACCTTAATGTGCTATTAATATCATCCAATCTTTTCTCTGTTCTTTCTAATTGTTCTCTCTGTCTAATGAGTTCCTGAAATAAAACAATTAATATACAACTATATATATATATATATATGTAGTGAAATATATTAAAGAGAACATGCAATAAATAAATATTTTGTTCATATCGTATAACAAATTTGACATTTTAATATATTTTATATAATTCATAAATTAATTTGTATATTTAGATAAATTAAATATTAAATTTAAATGCAGTAGTTTCCTTATAATAACAAATTATCTTTTTTATATTAAAAACAACTTAATTTAGTAAATAAAAAATGGGCAAACAGGATTTACCAAATAAACATTACATAAATATTTCAAGAAATAAATCTAAATAATTATTATAGTAAGACATAAAAAACAACATATTTAATAGTGACAAATTTTTAGAATCACCTCTGCAGTAGCAGCTCCAATCTGTTCGGAATCTCTTAAAAGCGAAATAGACCTTTTTGTTGATTGTATTGTACGTTCTTCTATTTCCTTTTTTCGTTGCAATAATTGTTGACGTTTTTGTTCGAGGCCATTGTCAAAATTATTATACTGATTGTAAGTCGTAAGACCAGATCTTGGTGGTGCACTTTTTAGAAAAGTTTCGTCGTCTATATCATCCTCGAGAGAGAAGAACGGATTTTTTGGATCACTTAAATAATTTTGGCTTGCCATATTTGTAGCGTATCGCGCACTTAATAATATTGTCTTTAAATCTGCTTCAAACTCTGACTAAATCGTCCGATACAGTGACATTCGTAGACACATAAAATCTTATACTGTGGGCTAAGTCTGAAACTACGTTATAGATGGCAGTCTACATGTAAATGTATATGTATCGCAGGCCATTACTAATTTTCAAATGTTTTAATAGTAAATCAAAGTTTATGCATTTTTTCTAAGAATTCGAATTATAATCCTGCTATCTTTCTGAAAAATAACTATCCTTTTTTCTTAAAAGGTATATTTTGAATTATTTTTAAATCTCAACTTAACTTATCTTAAATTAGATATAATAAAAAATATATTGCATATAGTTCCATTTAAAATTGAGAAATGAAATCATCATGAATCATAAACTAGATCTGATATAGACCACAATCATATAAATAGGTTTGGACACTCCTATGCTGAAAGCATAGAAGGAACCGTCTGAAAACTGAGTCATGAAAAACCAACATAGAAAATAAGAAAGTTCTCGTTCTGCGCATGCGTGACTTGCTATGAATGTCTCAAACAAAGGCAGACACTCTACTTATCGCTGTCTCGCAAACACGATAACTTTATTGTTTTCCATGTTAATTTTTCACGACGCAATTTTTGGACGGTTGTCCCTAACGAGTATCGAGACATATTTATACTATAACCGTGGTGTAGTCATTTTATTAAACTTTGTGTTATGCCTCATGGTAAGGCAATGAGAGTAGAAATGTTATGTATCGTCACTATAAAGTATGAAAACAGAGTAGGCAAGTCATATCATATGTAAGTGGATGCGACATAAGAATAAAAACAGAAGGTTTCATGTGTGCACGCTGTCCCGTTCGTGATCGCTGTAACATTTACATATTTACTGCACAAATGTGCAAGTTTTATTAGGCAAGGAAACAAGAGATCTCTCCCTATGCAGAGTTCTTTCTCTATTCCTATATTGCTTTTCAGCTCTCGTACTGAGAGCGCTTCGGTTATCGCTTTCATGCACTCCATCTTTATATCTTTAAAAATCGTTGCAGTTTTGTGGCATTAATATAGCATTAATTTTAGGAACGTTATATATAAGTACAGTGTGAATTCTGATGCGGTGAAATAAATGTATGCGGTATGAATTACATAGCAGTGTAGCAGAGGCAATGAACGGAGTAATATTGATAATAAATTCATTAAGTGTCATAATTTCTCATTACCACTAATAACTATTTAGAATAACTCGTTACTTTACACGTTTATTGTCATTGTAATTTTTCCTACATTGCCAGTACAATCTACACTTAGATAATATACAATTGTACTTATTTACGACATATACACATTTATAATAACCTTCCGTTTGTCATATACGTACTTGTGTACTTGTCTCAGTATCCCTTTTTCCGATCGAGTGTGATGTAACGAATGAAGAAGATATTGTTAAGTGCATTCAAATGTTAAATAAAAAGTTTGGTGGCCTTGACATTCTAGTAAATAATGCTGGAGTTGCTTTTGTCGCACCTATCATCGGTAAAATATTTATTGATATCAATCTATGATGCTTTACGAATATGCTTGCATTTGTATTTTCTTGTAATCCTTTCTCATATCAAGTATTGTCAGTAATCATGAGTTATACAATTATTGTGCAAAATGTGTAAAATGGTTACAATAATCTAGATTTGTTTAATGTCTGTTATTTGGTGTCGGATGGTTGGATAACATTCTTTTCCAGAATTTTTCTGTACCGAACTACTATCTGTTGTAGCTTTCGTTAAACAAATAGTGTTGACCGTTAGCTGAGAAGACAGTTATGTGGAAAATTTCAAGAAATTAGCTTAGCTTTGTCATTAATATAACAGCAAAAAGATTATTTTTATTATTATACAGAAATATTTTGCTTGATTAAATTAATCTTGAATCATCGGTTTACTATTGAATGCGTACCATAGTACGCGGAAGGAGTATTTATATACATTTGCATTAAAACATAAGCATTACAACTTTTGTTTTGTTAGACCAGAAATTTAACCATACGAACAAAACAAATAGGATCCTTTTATTTTGCAAGCTATGTGATTTTCATTTGTTGCCATCTCTGCGTGGTATTTATTCTGAAAAATCGCTATCTATTAATTATCACTGATATATTGCTGACGATTAGCACTTATGCTGTGTTAAAAATGCTTTGCAATATCAAAACTTCGCTGTGCATTAGTTATGTTCTGATCGAGATTTTCTTGCTCCAAATTTTCTAAATTCATCAGATAAAAAAGTTGTTACACGTGTTTAAGGAATATTCGAAGAATTTTTAAGAAAATCAAATCTGATACAAAAAAATTGTGTTCGCTATATTCGACTGATCTTTTCAAGTAAAATTCAAATTTTGTTTTCAGATGTTTGCTTCCCTACAATATCTACTATTTCAAAATAGTAATGCTTTTCTAATTATTATTTTTAAATGTAAATGTTACAAATGTCAAATATTACATAAATAATACAGTTTTACTCGCGAAATTGAAGTTTTTTTTATCTAAACGTTGATTCTTATATGTCCCAACTGTTATATTTAATTACTTTTACTAATAATAGCTTGGATATGTAATAATATTCATAGATACATTTCTGTTTGTAATAACTAATCGTAAATATTCCGTTACAGACTCAAAAACCGAAGAATACCGTAGAGTCATTGATACCAACTTGATGGCACCAGCAATTCCAGCACAAGAAGCCATAAAATCTATGAAAAAGCGCAACGCGTGTGGCCATGTAATTAATATCTCCAGGTAACTTTATGTATTACATAGTAATATATTTCCTCCGTATTTTATAGGTGGTAGTATTAGTTAAATATATCTGTGGAAAATGTCGATGAATCTATCGTTCCGTTTGTCCTTTCAAATTTTAATTGTTTTTTTTAAACTAAATAAGCAGTTTTCATCTTTTATTTACAAACGGAGAAAACAAAAGCAAAACATAACTTTTATATGGAACATTACACGAACACGAAATAAACATGGCTAAGCTGAACGTCAAAATCACGGTAACAGTTTGTTATTTACATATGTATAGTATATTATTTAATGCCATCGTTAGTCCATACGTACAGACAAGAAAATGAAAATTTTCGAAGGTGTGGGAACATTTAAAACTTAAATCTAACAGATGGCGTTGATAGATAGCGTTGTTATTTCGATAATTAAAATTGGTTCAACAAAATTGTCTATGATTACCCATGTATTAACGTAATTCTCAATAATAAAATGGGGTCGTGCATGTACTTAAAACACAAGCAATTCTCATATCGTTTTATTTTTATATTTCAATAGAACATTAGTCCTGGAGTTCTTATAACGGATATGATAAAAGTGTTAATTGATGTAGGTTTGGGGTTGATAATTAATCGATTCACACAGATTCGATTTTTCTCTCTATATTTCTCCGTCTCGTACAACACGGCTTAACACACAGAATATACTTAGTCAATTAACACGTGGTCGACTTCTAAGACAAAAGAGCGTCGTTAACAGTCGTACCAACTTAGCTTGTAGTAACTAGCGATCATGTCAAGTTAACTTCGCTCAACACTCCCCTTTGATCGTACTTTCTATAAGCCCCATAACTTTGGTAAAATGCTGAGTCTTAACTCTATTTAAGCCTTTGGTGAGAATGTCAGCAACATTCTCAGGACTATATATGTAGAAGGTATATATGTAGAATCTAATATTCCCTTCGATACGCAGTTCTTAACATAAAAATAACGTACTTGAACATGCTTAGAACTTTCAGCAACTACTTCATCTTTGGACCATGAAATAGCCCTGATGTTATCACAAAAAATCTTGCAAGGGCGAAGGCAATATGACAATTAACCCAACTTCCTTAACAGTAAGGAAATCCACACAGTTTCCCTTGCTGCTTCTTGCATCGCCACAAACTCCGCTTCGCATGCCGATTGAGCTATAATTGGTTGTTTCTTGGACAACCAAGATATTGCACCACCAGCAAGTATGAAGACATACCCGCTCCTAGATTTTCTATCTACCGTACAACCCGCAAAGTCTGAATCACAAAACACCTTCAAAGGTTGTCCTGTCCTTTGGTACACTAGCTTCATCTACTCACAGTTGCGACATACATTATATGCCCCACAGTTTGTTTATACAACTTATTATCGAAGGGCTCATCATACTCAATGTCAAAACTGACTTCACACTCCTTAGCTAGCGGTGTTGACACTCCAACCTCATGAGCAATGTCAAACAGATCCAGCATTTGACCTATCTGTATGGATTGATCAAATACGACAGTGGTACTGTTTGGCTTACTCAGGTAGATGGATAGAAATTGAGTATTTGTACCCAGCATCCTAACATCTAATTTCTCCTTAATTCTAGTTTTGAACACTTCAATCTTATCCTTCGTTCCAAACACAAGAATGTCATCCACATACACAGCTACAATCAGATCTTTGGACGCATTTACATACACACACTCATACATGGGTTCAGACTCATACCTTTCAAAATACTATTGATGTACCTAAACCACATTCTCCCAGTTTGCTTCAGTCCATACAGGCTCCTTTTGAGTTTGCACACATATTAAGTCCGGTCTTTTCCTGGAATTTTAAAAAATTCTGGTTGCTCCATGTATATATCCTCATCCAGAGGACTGTTGAGATATGCACACTCCACATCGATATGCTCGTAGGCCCACTCATTCTCTGCACACAGAGCAAGCAGAATTCTTAGAGTTCTGCGTTTTACTATTGAACTGAAGGTTACAAGCCTAGCCTTATATCTATCAGGGTTTCTCTTTATGACAAGCATCCACTTACAGTCTATAACATTTCTGTTCAAAGGTCTTTGCACAATGTCCCACACATCTTTATTTTTCAGATTGTCTAACTCCTTCATTATTGCATCAGTCCACTTTTGAGCATCTGGTCTCCTCAGGGCTTCGTACACATTCACGGATACATACATGCTTTGAGTTTTGCAAACGGTTGCAACATGAGCGCAACTATTACACGTCTTTGGCTTATGTAATCTTGCCGACCTCCTGGTCACAGTCGGTACACTCTCAACCTCCCCCCGATTATTCTCACTCATTAAATTGTCCATGAAATAGTCAGTCTCCCCTTCATCGTTTTTGCCATCACTTTGTATTTCAACGTCAGTCTGGTCAACTCCCCTTCCAAATTCAAAATCTTCTACGTCCCATATCCATTCTGAGAATCTCCTTTTTATATTACTCGTATCCATCTTAACACTCTTGTAGGGAAACACATTCTCCTCAAACCTGACATGACAAGATATTATTATTTTCTTGGTTTTTGGCAGGTAGATCCTATAACCCTTGACCTGTCGGTCGTAACCTACAAACCTACAAATATCCCTTCATCTGCCCTGGTTATTAAATTTTCGTCCGCTTGGGCTTCTCAGGTACCAGACTGTGCACCCAAATACTCTCAGTCGGTTGATCTCCTCTTGGATGTCGCATCCCTTACCTTTCCATAGTTCCAATGGGATCTTGTCTCCGATAGCAGCGAATGGGAATAGGTTCCTTATGTGACACGTAGTGTTCACTGCTTCTCTCCACAGATAATCAGGGAGCCCTGATTGGATGAGTAAACACCTAGACATCTCAACCAGGATCCTATTTGCTCGTTCGGAAACTCCATTTTGCTTAGGGTTCCTAGGGACGGTCTTCCTGTGTAAGATGCCTTTCTCCTTCAGGTAACTTTCAAAATTTTCCCCCGTATACTCACCTCCATTGTCAGTTTGGAGGACACTTATTTTGGATTAGTATAGAGCCTCCACTTCCATCTGGTATTCCTTGATGCACTTAAGTACTTCGCTCTTCCTGCTAATGATCCTAACGTACATGAAATGAGAGGAATCATCAATGAAAGTCACAAAGTAATTACCTCCGCCTAATGACATGCACTGAGCTCTGCCACTAACATCGCTGTGAACAATCTCTAAAAGGCGTTGACACATGTGGTGAGCTGTCCTCGGAAATGGCATTTTTGTCATTTTTCCTTTCACGCAGACTCTACATAGTTCCTCATGTTTCCTCGAGTCCTCCTTCACGCTACTTACAGGGATTTTTCTCATTGCATTTCCATGTAGGTGACCTAATCTCTCGTGCCACGATACAATACTCTTGTATGCCTTTGCCTTAATGACCTTAATGCCTTCGTCATCCTTCCCAGGCTCCTCCTGATCGTTTTCCACGGTGACGTTTGCTACGTGCCTTTCAGATGGTATTGTCTCTAGTACACACTGTCTCCTACTCTTGAGTTGAATACAACGTCTCCATCATCATGTGTTCCAACGGCCTCATCCCTCGTACACACTGTGGTGACACGCTTCATTGCCAATTGCCTAATCGAAACTACATTCACATCTAATTCAGGCACCCATAGAGCGTTCGACAAGGATAGGGTCCAACCGCCACAGGATTTAGTTATCTTCACAACGATCGTTCCCTTTCCCTTAACCTCCAGGTATCCCTTGTCAATTCTGATCTGTCCGATTGCAAGCGTGGAGTCATGTGATTCGAGGACCCCGAGTCAAGGTAACTGATCCTATCCCTTTCCATGTGGCTGATGGACGATGAAGCTAACGTAGAGAGAAGTCTTTTGTATCTCGATTTGTCTTCTGATTCTGTCTCCTTCTTGCCGTCTTCTTGTCTCCTTTTCTCCTTTTGGTTTTTCTCCTCCTTATCTCCCTTCCCTTCTTGGTACTGGTACGAAATGTGGCCCCGTTTTCCACATTTGTAGCACTTCTGGTCATTTGGGTCTCTGTGCTTTGGCTTCGCGCCATCTTTGTTCTGTTGAGGCTTGGGCCTCCATTGTTTCCAGGCCGCCATTGCGCTGTTTTTCTCGGCCGAGTCCGCAGCCGCATCGATGCTTCTTTCTTCGAGTAGAAGATTGGATTTCACGACCCTCGCGGTTAGATCCTTATCGATCCTTGTTGCTCTGAGGTACGTCGCGTAATTTGTATTTGTAAAATATTAATTTTTGGTAAGAAAATATACACACTTTTTGTTTAAATTCAATATTTTGTCCAATATTCGTTATTTCTTATCACCTCGGTACATCTTCTTGGCATAGAATCTATTAATTTTTTACATTGATCTACCGTAATATTGCTCCAAGCTGTTTCAATTGTAAAGTTCATTTAAATTTTTCGCTTTATAACCTTGTACTGTCTTTTTTATGATGCTCCATAAATTCTCGATTGGATTAATGTCTGGTGATTACGACGGCCACGGCAACACGGTAATATTTTCTTCTTCAAAACACTGTTTCACAACCCAAGCCGTGTGCTTCGGATCATTATCATTTTGAAAAATAAAATCATCCATTCAGTATGTCCATGTATTGAAAACGATCCGTAATTCCATTGATACGACATATCGGACCAGGACTCCTTCGAGAAAAACACGCGCACACCATAACGTTCCCAACACCATGTTTAAGAGTTTTTAAAACGCACTGTGTTTTCAAACTTTCGCCAATTCGACGTCTAACATGCCGTATCCCGTCAGAAGAGACGCGATTGAATTTCGATTCGTCTGAAAACAATAACATTTGCCAATCTTCACTTGTCCAATGCTTATGAGCTTTAGCAAATGCAAGTCGTCTTTTTCGATTCCTAGAACTCAGTAGTGGTTTTTTTGGGGGTTTTCGTCTTCTTAAGTTAAAGTCTTCTAATCTTCTCTTAACAGTTCTAGCACTAATTTGTGTATCGTTTTTATAGTTTATCTCCGCAGCAATATTATTTGCACTACAAAAACGATCCTTTTCGCTCAATCGATGAATCCGGTGATCCATTTTTGGCGTTGTTTTCTGTAGTCTTCCGTTTTTCGGTTGATCGCAATACATGCCTGCCTTTAAAAATTTATACCAAGCTTGCTTACAAGTCGTTTCTGACCTGTTCACTATATTTCCTATTTCGATGAAGTTTTTACTTTGCTTTCACAGCCTTACGATTTGTTCCCTTTCGTTTTCAAATAAATTCTTTCATTTACCCATAGTCTGTTTCTACCTAAATGAATTTTAAGGAATAAAAGGTACACTAAACAATGATTTTCACATTCCAGAATCAAAATGTTCAAAAACTGTACTCATATTCAGGTTTTACACAGATCGACTTAAACTAATGCCCACTGTTTACAAGTGCTAAGCGGTAACTAACTGTTATAACTCCTATATTGTTTGTATTTGACAACTGACGGTCTGAGGTTACGAAGGTTAAGCATACAGCTATGTTATTCCAAAGAGACAAACCCAATAGAAGAACAATATGCGTATAAGATGTTTGTAATCCGATTTACAAATCATCGTCTTAAACTTCTGTCCGCCACTGTAAGTGTCAGAATAAGTTGAGGGATATCTTGGTAAATATTCGATTAGCATTCTATATTTAGGTTATTTCCACTATTACGTTATTATGTTTTATGCAAAGAAACGGAAGAATCATGAGTGCGATTTTGAATCTTCAATGCAAAATGATAAAAGTAGGATGTTTGGAGAAATAAAACATTCTACGCTTTATTAAACCAATTGTTCTATTTAATAAATGAGAAAAATTCGGAAAAGGACGTTTTATTTTTCATTCTAAATTAAATATTATCTCGTTATGCAAAAAGCGCGCACAGGCGGCTTAGCCTACATATACATTAAGATTTTTTTTTTTCATAGGCGCTCGCGCCCTCCGAGGAGAGAGCGCCGGGTAGTGTCGGATTCGTACCGGCTAAAACCTCTACAGTGGTCGTCCTGAGGATTGGTAGGAGAGCCCCGGGACCATCGTTTCATATTGCTGCTGGGGCACTCCTTCGTCTTCTCCCTGATGATGTAATCGGGAGTCATCCTTGGTTGATTGGGGCGTTAGGAGGGACCACTCTCGGCGCGCTCCTTTGCGAGCATGACTTGCTCGCAGCAGGGATATACATTAAGACTGAAACTTTGAAAAAGAATATTAATTGCCAGGTCTCACCCAGTGGAAGTGGCTACATACTACACCTGCTCGAACTCCCAAACCCACACACCTTCCATTATGTTTTTATTTACCGTTTGGATTTTAATTGAATACTGTTGTTTTTGCTAACTTCTCCCTTCTTTTCTTTTTTTTCATTGAGTATATCAGTTGTGTGTTGGCTGTGCCTAGTAGTTTTGGACTTCGCGACACATGCTGTTTGTCATAAAATAATAAAATTTATGACAATGAATTAATATTAAATCTTTGAAACTTATGACATTATTACACACACTTTTTCGTATTGGTCCAAAGATCGCCGATCAGCGACGATCTTAATTCCTGAAACTGTTTACGAACGACGATGATAAAATACACGTGTCAAAATACTATCGTGCAAGTACTTGGGTTATATTTAGTTCGGAAATAATACTTATTTTTTTGTCGATATTTTAAACTATCATAAATATGTAGTAATTGATTGCCTGTAAAATTTAGTACCTGTAAAATCTACTGCTCTCTATCCATTTGCTCTCCTATGTACATCGCCTTTACAGTTTGCGCATGCATTCTATTTTGATATTCTTATGATCTTCGAAGTTTTGGGGCGTTCTGTAATTAATTTTAATGATGCCATGTATTTTTCTTTGCAGTTCCCCGTAGTGTAAATTTTGGCGCGGTGAAATGAATGTTTTGAACAAGCAAAACAATTTGACAACAAATTCATTGATGAAATATCATAGTTACCAATTGTCATTTATAACTGTTTGTGATAACTCCACTTGTCATGCGCACTTAGATAATACATAATTATACTTATTTATTCACGACATATACTCATGTATAATAATCTGTTGTCTATCATATACGTATTTGCGTATTTGTCTCAGTATCCAAAGAAAATCTTTCTAACTAAATGGCCCCTCGATTTCGCATCGGCTTAGTGAGGAAGACAATAGCCTCTGCTAATTCCTGATTTCGTATGAGGTTTCCTGAAGATTACAGTTCTCTGATTTCGCGTCAAGTTTGCCTGTATTTACACAAGCCTTATGAAAGTTTCCCGATTTCCTGTTAGGGTCATTGTCAAATCCGCTAACAGCTCCATATTTTTGCATCAAGATCGATTGTTCCGTTTCTCCTAGTGACACGCTGATTTCGGATCGAGTTTGTTCACCAACATTGAATCTCCTTCGGCTTCTTGATGTTTGCGCCAAGAGCGTCTGCACACGATTTCATGTTAGAAGCGCCCTGACCGCGCCTCAAGTTCATCCTCGCAAACAATCCAGAACTTGTTATGCGCTCTCTGACCTTGGCAACATAATTGCTGATACAATTGCAACCGTATTTCATAAAATACCATGTCACGGTGCTCGCAGTCTTGGCGTGTAACACTCATATTTATGAATACAAATGCCAGCAGAAGTGAAAGCTGAAAGGGATATTCTGGTCTAGAAATTTGAAAAAATCGAAAATTTTTTTTCATATTTCCTAAGTTTAGACATTCAAGAATATGCCCTTAAAAGGATTTTTCAAAATTTCAATTATTTTATGAGTTACAGCCATTTTTGTGACGCAGCATCTGCTCCGGCCCGACCGGGACCAATGTACAATAAACGGTAGACGCTGCCCGAGTATGAAAACCCTCATAAAATTATTACTGTATTTTATACCTTTTTAAAGGTATTTTTAATCCAAGGCCAAAAAACGTATTTTGTCGGAATTTTTTCGTCTTAGTACTTATTTCAAGTTAGTTTCTTGTCAGCCTTCAAGTAACGTGTACGTGCTAACTCTGACAATGTTTTATAAATATTTAAAGTAAAAATTGTTTTATATATTGAGATTTTAAAGTAAAATGGATAGAAAACATTCAAAATTCTGCTCTAAATGAACATGCAGAGTGAAGAAGAGAAGATTTTCCGATATCAAGAAGATACCAGTTTCATTAGTGCATCTGCAGCAAAATTGAGAAGTTCGCAAGATGAAGAAGTTTTAATTAATAACAATTACGGCTATTGTATTTTAGAATTTTTCTCTGTTTTGCTCGTCTCCATGAAAGAACTTCGGAGAATAAGTATTTTGAAGTAGAGGAAGGTTTCTTGTATGGAGCAGATATCGCCGATTAAAAATATGTAAGTATGCTGTACCATTCCATGAGTAAAATTGCCGGAAACTTGTCTCAAAACTTTAAACACGTTTTTCTCGAAACTACTTTTTTCGAGTTGGTGTGCACGATATCTCAAGTTCTAATGAACCGATTTATTTTAAATTTGGTCTGAATATTCCTTATATACTCCTCTATCGTCCGGACCACGCTCAGCTCAAAATCTTTAATATTACTATTTTTTAAACGTTCGGAATTGTCAAAAAAACGTGCAAGCTAAGAAATTTTTTTTCAAACGGCTGTCATTTTGTGAAAAAATGTTGTATTGACTTTTCCAAGGTTCAGGCGATAGCGACATCCATACTAATTAAGAATCCGTTCGCATTTTTTGTTTCAGATGACCAGAAGGGTCGATATCATGCACGCCACGACACCCCATTTTTTGGCAGCACCCACTTCGCCAGCTCATAACTTTTTAAATATTGAGTTTTTTTTCAGTGAATTTTTTACGTAATCTCGAAATATCAATAAACAAATGCTAAAAAGAAGGATAGCAAAAATATTTTTTGTTTCGCTTGTACAGAGCATCAAAAATCGCCCGAAATTCATGCCTCTAGACCAGAATACCCCCTTAATCAATTTAATACGAAATTTACGATTGGAATAGCTGGATTGCATCGACAGTTACCGAACACCTTGTGCAACTAGCATCTCTAACCAATCAATTTTATCTTATCAAATTTATATTCACTTATTTTTGCGTTTCGCAATTGTCACGTTTACCGATGACTTTCAAATATTAAGAGTGAATACAACGAGATACGCATGAGGCACTCGAATAAAATACACTTTATGTTGCAATCTTAATTAAAAACTATATCGGAGTCGCATGTACAACACATTACTCAAGATTTTAAGTAAATCTACAATTATAAAGTAACAACAACTTGTACTCGACATTCTATTCGATTAAAATAAATAAGAAGAACGCTTATAACACTAAAACTGCCAAAGTAATCGAAATGTCCAGCTCATAATGATTCATCGCTATTTTATAGCTGTGGTGCTCGATAAGTATTGTAAGTCTCTTTTTGTAACATGACTCAGTTGTTATAAGCAAAAACATGTAACAACCACTTATGTAGAATAAGTTTTCGGGATCTTATGGAATAGAGTGCTATTTTTGTATTGCATTTTATTTTTTATTTGTTATCAATATAAATATAAATAAGGTAACAATGAATATAAAGAATACCATAAATGGAGTTATAAAACTAGCCTTTCATTTCGACAAATGTTCGTTCCTGAACATCGATAATTGATTAGAGTTTGTACTTAGCAACTGCAGCCGCTGTAGATACCTAGTACTTGTCTTTGTAGTGGATTGCTTTGATTATTACATCGATTAATTATGACTACTCAACTCGTTGAAGGAAGAGGGGGACTGATTGTATGGAGCTATAGTTATACCTATGATTTATGGTTTACATGATCGCATTATCTGTCTCTCTATAATTTGCAACTGAAACATCCTTTTGTATTTTGCACGTTCTGTTTCGAGATATTTAACTAGTTGTATTTCATGTACGAGCCCTGCTAATTGAAGATCATTACATACACGTTTGTATGAAATGTACTGTATTACGTAAGTACTTACTTGAAAGGACATATCATGAGTGAACACTGATTGGTAGAAATCAAGGTCAGTGCGTCCACTTCTTCATATAAAGTAACGCAATGCCTTTATTCGCAGTTATGTTGCGGTGAGCTAACAAGAATGATGAATCGTTGGTCCGGTAAAATAGCAGTTGTGACCGGTTCCAGCAGTGGAATCGGTCTTGCGATATCGAAAGCTCTGGTTAGCCATGGCGTTAAAGTAGTTGGTTTAGGAAGAAGAATAAACAAGCTTCGGGATGCTGCAGCAGAAATTGGAAAGGATAAATTTTTTCCGATCGAGTGCGATGTAACGAACGAAGAAGATATTCTTAAGGTGTTCAAATGGATCGACGAAAAGTTTGGTCGCCTTGACATTTTAGTGAATAATGCTGGAGTTGTTTGTGTCACACCTATCATCGGTAAAATATTTATGTTAAGTTATGTTAAAATACATATGTTTTACTAATATGTTTGCATTTGCATTTGCATTTTCCTTTTTTCTGTAATCTTCTTTTTTTTTTAAGTATTGCCAGTAATCATAGGTTATATTATTATGCTACAGGTGTAAAATGGTTACACTAATCTAGATTCGTTTATCTACTATCTATAGTAGGAAAGCTTTCGTTGAACAAATAGTGTTGATGTGGAGTTAGTGTCCCAGATTTCTTCAGTATTAGCGGAGAAGTCACTTGTGTGGAAAATTTCAAGAAAATTACAATTTCGTTACCAGTACAACAGCTCGAGTGATTACAATAATTCCTTTGAATTATCGTGTTTGATTAAATTAATCTTCATGTCATCGGTTTACTGTTGAAGGCGTACCATAGTATGCGGAAAGAATATTTATATACATTTGTATTAAAACATAAGCATTACAACTTTTGTTTTGTTAGACCAGAAATTCAACCATACGAACAAAACAAATAGGATCCTTTTATTTTGCAAGCTATGTGATTTTCATTTGTTGCCATCTCTGCGTGGTATTTATTCTGAAAAATCGCTATCTATTAATTATCACTGATATATTGCTGACGATTAGCACTTATGCTGTGTTAAAAATGCTTTGCAATATCAAAACTTCGCTGTGCATTAATTATGTTCTGATCGAGATTTTCTTGCTCCAAATTTTCTAAATTCATCAGATAAAAAAGTTGTTACACGCGTTTAAGGAATATTCGAAAAATTTTTAGGAAAATCAAATCTGATACAAAAAAATTGTGTTCGCTATATTCGACTGATCTTTTCAAGTAAAATTCAAATTTTGTTTTCAGATGTTTGCTTCCCTACAATATCTACTATTTCAAAATAGTAATGCTTTTCTAATTATTATTTTTAAATGTAAATGTTACAAATGTCAAATATTACATAAATAATACAGTTTTACTCGCGAAATTGAAGTTTTTTTTATCTAAACGTTGATTCTTACATGTCCCAACTGTTATATTTAATTACTTTTACTAATAATAGCTCGGATATGTAATAATATTCATAGATACATTTCTGTTTGTAATAACTAATCGTAAATATTCCGTTACAGACTCAAAAACCGAAGAATACCGTAGAGTCATTGATACCAACTTGATAGCACCAGCAATTTTTGCACGAGAAGCAGTAAAAGCTATGAAAAAATGCAACGCTTGCGGCCATATAATTAATATCTCCAGGTAACTCCATGTATTACATAAGAATATATTTCCTCCGTAATTTACTGATGGCAGCGTCGAATAAATATATCTGTGGAAAATGTCGATGAATCTATCGTTCCGTTTGTCCTCTCAAATCTTAATTGTTTTTTGTTAATCTAAGCAAGTAGTTTTCATCTTTTATTTACAAACGGAGAAAACAAAAATGAAACATATAACTTTTATATTGAACACTGCCAAATAAACTCGATTCGTTTGAATTTAATTTTTTGCCCAATATATTTTTATATGCACATTTTACGTATTTATTGAATTACATGTTATTTCTGAAATAATTAAATAATATAAAGACTATCGTTTTTCAAATGATATTTATTTCATTCTAGAGCAAACTTGAGTTGAATTCATGAAACACTTCCCCTAGCATATTATTTGAATTATTAAAAAAGTTATAATAGACATATCAGGCACGAAGTAAACGGAAACAAGTGTGTCTTGAATACAATATAAGGCCGGGGAAAATAAAGAATATTTGCATTTCTTCCAGATATATTAGGTTGTACCAAAAGTTTCTTTCGTTTTATGAAGAATTAATATTATTTTCATGTGTTGTTCATATGTTCCAATGGAACAGAATGCATGATAACAAGAAATGTTGTACATTTATTACTTCTTTATAAAACGGAACAAACTTTTGGGACAGCCTAATAGATTGATTTACCAAACTAAGATTTTATATATAGAATAAATTCAGCAATACGTCAATGTCACTGTGTATCTCTAGATTTTTATATTCCACAATCTCCTCAATCGATCGAATTTCTATCGATATATGCAAGACATCCGAAATAGATAAAAAATATGAAAACAAGTAAAATGTCTGTGCTTATTTTTTCGTAGTTTGTACGTTATTACGAAGAACTTCAAAAAGGTTCATTAAATTCCGTGATTTCGTAGAAATTAAACTATACTGTCTTCCATTATACTAATTTTTCACAGACAGTTTGATTAAATTATTACATTTTTTAATATGAAGCATATTTATAGCATTGCCGGATTACATCTTGAAGGTATAGCCATACCGATCGGCATGTACGGTCCTAGTAAATACGGTCTAAGAGCTCTAGGAATAGAACTCCGTCACGAAATAATCGCAGCCAAGCTGAACGTCAAAATCACGGTAACAGCTCGTTATTTACATATGTATAGTATATTATTTAATGTCATCGTTAGTCCATACGTACAGACAAGAAAATGAAAATTTTCGAAGGTGTGGGAACATTTAAAATCTAAATCTAACAGATGGCGTTGATAGATATCGTTGCTATTTGTATAATTAAAATTGACTCAACAAAATTGTCTATGATTTTTTATTAACGTAATTCTGAATAATCAGATATAAACATGCACATACTATAAGAATAATAATACTCACATGGTTTTATCTGTATATTTTAATAGAACATCAGCCCCGGAGCTGTGATGACGGATATGGTAAGAAGTGTCCAAGATGTCGTGAGCAATAATTTTATATTAAAAGTTGGAGACATTGCCGAAGCAGTGATCTACGCGGTAGGAACACCGGAAACGGTCGAGGTATGTATACATAAAATATCTGTTCACAAGACATACACACTGTAACGTCTCTTAGTAAGATTATCGACACACATTTTAACTCACATCTTTAATTTCCTTTATGCCAATTTTGTTCGGACGTTCCCGCATATGTACTCATTTTATTTCGCTCCTAATATAAGATCTGTATAAAAAAATATTATTTACTCCGTCGTTATATCAATTCATATAATTCGTATAACACCTATAGAGCTAGATAACCCTTTTTATACAGTTGATTATTGAATTATTTTCTTTCTTATTTTATTGTTTTTGTATTTATTTATGTTCCTTTATTTTACCTATTTGATATTTTCTTTTATTTCTTTCTATGCATACAATTTTTATATTTCTTTCTATAATATGTGGAAGTAACCATTTTGTTATTATAGAATGATAGATGATTATAGGATGATAGAATTTCTCCTTTCTCAATTAAGAACATATGTCAATATTATGTGAACGTTATTATTTTTACTGGTAATGATTAACTTCAATATTCATAGAAATACTGTTTGCAGATTCCGGAAATCACGGTAATACCACACGGCACGGGATTTATTTTGACACAGCGGGATTGACTCACAGTTAGTCATTACTTACATGCTGTTACATGCCGATTTTAATGAACTTCACGCCTGATCACATCATTATATCAATGTACAATGGCGAAAAAATCAGTGTGTTACTCCTACCTTGCAAGTATCAAAGTAGTTGAAGACATATGTTGTTAGATATGCGATTAACGTTTTGTATCTACATTATTATTACTATTAGGTTATTACCATTTATACAAAGGAATGTAAGAACCGATGACCTCATTAGAACGATTGTGAATCTTAATGCAATATGGTAAAATCAAGATGTATGTAGGAATGTTTTATGGAATAGAACTTTGTATACTCTATTAAATGGATCATCCTATTTAATAAAGAAATGGATTAGAAAACGGAGCTTTATATTTTTCCCTTTAGATATAAAAAAGGACGTCTTTGTGCGTAAAGTGCGTAGAATAGACTTAGCCTAGATATGTTTATTATATAATTAAAACTGGTACGTATACATTTTACGACGTCTTACGCTGTTTTTAGCTTGGCATCGTCTTCTACAGATTAATTTCTGAAAACAAATATCAGCTGGCAGTTTTTACCGCGTGAAGTGGCTATATACGAGACCTTGCCAGACCCTAACCCCAATCCACTTCCACTATATTTTTATTTGTTATTTGAATTGTACATAAATGCTGTTACTGTTAACAATGTGCGTCTGATGAACGTTTTGTTTTCCTTCCCTTTTTTACATGTATCTGTTGAGTGTTAGCTGTACCCAGTAATCTTAGGTACTTATATCTTATAGTCCGTCATGAAATAATGAAATAATTAATGGCTATTTATGAAATTCGCGACATTCTTATATAGACTTTTTCGTATTGTCGTGCAGCTGTTCGCGGGATCGTCCGCAGATCGCCGATCTGCGACGACCTTGACTCCTGAAACTGTTTGCGAACGACGACGATAAAATACACGTGTCAAAATACTATAGTGCAAGTACTTACTTGTGTTATATTTAGTTCGGAAATAATACTTATTTTTTCGTCGAGATTTTAAACTGTCATAAATATGTAGTTATTGATCGTCTGCAAATTTTAGTGTCTGTAAAATCTAGTACTCTCTATCCATTTCTTGTTCAATGCATATTCTTTCCAGTTGGTGCACGCATTCTATCTTGATATTCTTATAATCTTCGGAGTTTTGTGGCGTTCCGTAAGGAATTTTAATAATGTCATGCATCTTTCTTTGCGGTTCTCCGTAGTGTGAATTTTGGAGCGGCGAAATAAATGTTTTGATCGAGCAAAACAGTTTT